CAGTGATGGCAGGCAATGCTTGGTGTGAGGAGGGAAGAAGGAGCAGGTTTATAAATGTTAAAATGGTTCTTGACAGCTTTGGGAATATCGGCTTAATACTGTGAAAGAGCATTGCCACTAGCATGAGAGTGCCAGTTATGTTGTCCCTTTCTTTTAAGAACATAAACACATTGTTCCACTGCCTCATCTGTGTGGTTCGCTAATAATATAAGAAGCAAACGTGTTTACAAATATGAGTCTAGGCCAGGAGTCAGCAAACTTTTTCAGCAGGGGGCTGGTCCACTGTCCCCCAGACCTGGCCCCCAGGCCAGGCTATATTTAGGGGGGGAAATGAATGAATTCTTATGCCCCACAAAAAACCCAGAGATGCATTTTAAATGAAAGGGCACATTCTACTCATGTAAAAACACGCTGATTCCTGGACCGTCCGCGGGCCAGACTTAAAAGGCGATTGGGCGGATCCGGCGTCCAGGCCTTAGCTTGCCTACCGATAGTCTAGGTAAACAGATAGTATTGCCTGGATACTGAAACAGAAACTCAGGTGTGAAATAGCAAAAGAAAAGCACTGTTAAATCATGCCATCATAGCCCAGTGTCCTGTACAGTGGTACCTCGGGTTACAAACACCTTGGGTTACAAACACTTTGGGTTACAGACTCCGCTAACCCAGAAGTATTACCTCGGGTTAAGAACTTTACCTCAGGATGAGAACAGAAATTGCGCGCTGGTGGCACAGCGGCAGCGGGAGGCCCCATTAGCTTAAAGTGGTATCTCAGTTTAAGAACGGTTTCAGGTTAAGAACGGACCTCCAGAATGAATTAAGTTCGTAACCAGAGGTACCACTATGCTCAACAGTTGCCAACAAGATGTCTGTGGGAAATATGGAAGCAGGTCTTGAGTGCAAAAGCAGTCTCCTCACCTGTGGTTCCCTGCAAGTGGTATTTGTGCTGAAATCCCTTTATCCATCTAGAGAGTTTCTGTATGTCCTGCCAGTGTGTGTGTGTTGGATGTAATATAGTTCTATAGTGACATTTCCATTAAAAGCCCTTGTAATCTTTCACACACAATGGCCAACCAGATGCCTCTAAGAATCCCAAAAGCAGGCCATGAGGGCAAGAGCTGTCTCATGCTTTTGTTCCCCAGCAATTAATATTCAGAGATATTCTGCCTGTGATGCTGGAAGTAGCCTAAAGCCATCAGAACCAGTAGCCATTAACCCTCATCAGACATTAAAAACGTGTGCTCAGATAGACAGAGGAAGGGAAGCAGCACCCTTTCTCCTTCCTCTCTCCTGAACTTCCTGTGCTAAGCATGAAAGGCTGCGGGGAGATTTTAACTGGACTTGATTAGAATTCCCTCTTCTACTGAGAACCCTGATTGTGCAGGAGGATAAATATAGCTAAAAGTGGCATGGCAGGGTAGGGACGATATGCATCTGTTCAGATGACTACTAATCATGATAGCTATGTGCTACCTCCATCTTCAGAAGCATCTCAATACCAGTTGCTGGAAACCCAGGGTAGGGAGAGTGCTGCTGTGTTCAGGTCCTGCTTCCTTTCCACATGCTTATGGTTGAGAACAGGATGCTGGGCTAGCTGGATCATTGGCCTGATCCAGCTGGCTCTTCTTATGTTCCAGTGCAGATGACTGTGAGGCTTAAGTGCTTTACAACTTGCACTTGAGTGCTCTGTTTTCACTACATGACACGATCTAGGCTGCAGTAGGAACCCACCTGAGCATTCAAACAACTGACTGCAAGGAGCATTTCCTGGCCATCAGGGTCTATAAAGGATTAGCTTCAGAACTTTCTTCTTGGCCTGAACATTACATCCCTTGCCCACTTCCTGCCTGATCTAAGTTCGTGCTCTACTTTTCTGCCCACTACTTTGTATTTTGTCCTGCCTCTTGGATAAACACCTGTGCCTGACCCACTTGGACTGGCATTGTCGAGATCGGGCGTGTTCAGGGTAGTATGGCCATAGACTGGACTGGCATTGTCAAGCAACAGCTCCCCAAGGTCACAGAGCCTGACTTCCTGCAACCTTTGCAGAGGACTAACTTTACAGTTAACTCTTACTACAGTCAGCATTACAAATAATGCTGATTTACTCACATACACAAACACAACTTATATCTTAGAGGAAGTCCTTGCTTGAGTGGAACACTTTCTGCTCAAAGAACAGAACTTCCCCCTCCTCATCCCTTGCACACACACACACACACAAAAAAACCCCTGATCTGGCAGTTTCCCCAGCCCTCCAGAACAAATTTGGGAAGTTCTGGGGGGCACTCAATGGGAGGAGATGGAGGACAGGTTTTGTTGCATTTGTGAAAGTCACTCTACTCATAATGACTTTGCTGGATTCAACCCACACACCAGTTTAGCAAATGACGTGGATTTGTGATCTACCTTCATGGCTGTTAAACTGAGAGGAATCAACACAGTTTCAATTTAGCTAGTTTACAAACTGGTCAGCTGACCAAAAAAAGGGCTGAAGGGAGCAAGAAGTGAATATGAATGGAGCCTGAAAGAACCAAGCTGCTTTGCACACCAGAAATGAATAGATGCATTATCCATTCAGAAGGGGAGTTGTCCAAAAAAAACAAAAAACAAAGAAGGTCCCCTCCACCCACCATGTTCCAACCCATCTGGATCTCCAACCAGCAGGTCAGAGTGATAAATGGACAGCCTGAAGACAAGTTGAAGGCCACACAAACACAAAAGGTGATAAATGGGTCATTTCTCCTTCTCTTCCTTCACCACCCACAGGTGTGGAGTGCTTTTGTTTGTGATGCTCTCACAGGTCGCTCCGGGAATTGAAACGCTGTGGAAGAACTCTGGGCCTCTTCAAATAAAGCTGACAAAAAGCGAAACTAATTGTGTTTCATGGCCTCAGTCCACTGCTCTTCCATACGTTTCAGCACAAAACAGCTGTAGAGATGAAACACGCACACAGGTAACTTACATTAGGCTTGGTAAGATGAGCGCCGCAACCCCAGAGTCAGTCACGACTGGACCTAATGATCAGGGGTCCCTTTACCTTTACCTTTTTATGCACCAAATGAGAAATAATTAGATTTTTTTAAATGGTTCTCGTATGTTGCAAACCCTTAAGACTTTCAAAGAGGGTGAAGTTGTTTGGGAAGCAGCTCTCAATGAGACTTGTGACACCTTAAGAGACCTGGCTACTAAGGTAAGTCTTTCTTTTTCTTTTCTTTTTAAAGGTACTCTTGATAGAATTGTTCAAACAATATTGTTCAGTGGACTTTTGGCAAGGATACAAGCAGGATGTCAGGAACTGTATGTTTTTCTCAAACATGAACAATTCTCATATAAATTGTGTACTGATCTCTGACTGGCTGCCTAAATTAAAAGACTCAAACCTAGGGACAATAGGCATACTAGACCATGGGGAAGTTATAACAAGGCTTCAGTTGGATCCTGACAGAGAAACAAGCAGAACCTGCCAGTTAAATCCAGTGCTGCTTCTCAGAGCAATTACACTTGAAAGGGTCAAGGAGGGTTTGCAACAGTGTTTCATTAACTACATCCCTACTCTGCAGCAATGCTATGGGATACAATGGAGTTAGGTCCAAGAAGGACATTAATTAATCAACCAAATCAAGCATGAGGTTCAAAGGAGTAGAAGCTGGGAGCAACTACAGAAGGAAATATATGAGTAAGAGGAGGCACATGAACAATCAGGGAGCTGGTAAGATACAGTACAGTACAATCTTTTGCCTAGAAAAAGTATGCTAAACCCATACACACACACACACACACACACACACACACACACACACCTTACACTCCATTCTATAGTCCATTCTGTCAATACCATTTCATTCCCAACTAATTCTTCTGCATGAGTAGGCCAGGGTTAGGGTTAGGGTCTGAATCTGTAAATTGATTCCATTGAAACATACTGCATTTTAGTGATCCCAAGACAAGAAGCTTAGGCTTTTAGGGATGTTGTGGTTTTGGGTCTTGGTTTGGAATACTGATCCTCCAGGCACTTGTCTGGATATCATCCATATGTAAAACAGAAGACAGAGACGAAGACTTCCAAGCATGCTAAAATGTTTATTTGTGAATCAAACAATGTGGGGAAAATCTCAATCTTAGTGCAAACATGCAACCATTCCATCAATCTCATGCGAGCAATAGTGGGCACTGCAGCTCCTCGTGAATCCACAGGTCTCAGCTGCCAGATGTGGTGAGCATGGGGTGGGTGACATCAGAAGTAGTCGAGAAGAAAAGACAGGAAGCATTTGGGATTTGCTTTGAACATTTATTGATGCAAGAGCAAAGCATATGACTACAGACACCAGGGTCAAGCAGGGGTGAGGGTAGGGGAAGAGACTTGATTCTAAGGGAAATCTAGCCTGAGAAGCCAGTCAGCTGACGAGCAGGTGCTCATTGGCTGGGGCAGGAGCAAAGGGTGAAGAGCGCCCTCCACACTCTGTCTGTGTCCAGACCGTGAGTGCCCATCCACTGGCTGGTGGGCGGGGACGGGCCATGGAAGGTGCTCTTCACCCCCACACCCCACCCATGCCTAGCGCACAGGGGCCGACAATCAGCTGGTGGGCGGGAGCGGGGCAACCCCAGAGGTGAAGAACATCCTCTGCACTGACCCAGAGGGCTCGTGCACCGGGCATGTGCCTAGTTTGCACCTCCCAAGATTCTGTGCCCAGGGCCATGGCCCCCCTTGTCCCCCCACACACGCTAGGCCACTGACTGTGGGTCCTCATGACTGTCCAGTGCTCAAAGTGAGGGGAATACCAGAACCAGCAAGAAAGATAAGAATATATTGTGGTGTTCTCTGAACAATTATTTATTGAACAGAACGGCAGAGAACTAAAAAAAGCACAAAAGAAAACATGGAACATGCAATGCTCAATCAACTAAGTCAGGGATTGGAGGAGGTACCTTGCTTATCTGGGCAATATATAGCCCAGGAGGCCAAGTGGCAAATATCAGGTGCCACAGCTGCTCTCCCACTACCTTTCTGTCTCTACCTCATCGCCTAAGCAGGGGTTTCTGTCACTCAACTGGTTGTCATCAAAACATTTGATGCAACCTCTGTTGCTACTGTAGCACCGGAATAGGGGGGCACCCTGGATGTGTTCCCAAGCCCCCACCACAGCCTCATGCTCTTTCACTGTATCCTTCATGTAAACAGTCTCAAAAACAAAAGCCCTGGAATCCTCACTGTATCTGTTAAAAAGGGGGTTGACCATCTGGACAATGTTTCTCGCATCACTCTCATTGAGGCAACGTTCTACACAAGGAGATAATTTGCTAAAGAAGATCAGGCAACTATTTTGGTCTTTATTGGATAGGATCCTTTCTACAGGGCTATTCTGGCCTCCAGTCAGCAAGCGCCATTCCGCGTGCTCTTTACTACGGGTAAATCTTGGCCTAGCTGCAATGACATCTCCTATTGGCTTTGGGACATATATTCCATTCTTGTGGTCAAGAGCATTCTTCATCTGCTGCATTTTGCTCCTGGGCAAAACTGTCTCCAAGATTGTTGGTGTACGTTCTACGCAGTATGCATGATCCAGTTTTATAGCCACAGCATAATGGATGTTTTTAATGCCATACCTAGGAATGAGCACCAAAAAATGATGGGAATGAGTGGCACTGAATGAGCAAAAACTAACACTGAGTATTCCAAACTGAACTTTCATGTTTGGCAGCTGAATAGAAAGGCATTGTTAGATGGAAAGATTTTTTTTATTGGGATGTGATGGTTGTGATGACTGATAAACAAATTCTAACTGCCATCTGCTAATATACCAGGACAGAGATGGGTTTTACAACAAAGATTCTCAAAAAATTAAGTGAGGTTTAGTTAGCGTCACGGCTGTTACTGGGCAGGAAAACAATATTGTGGTTTTTCTATTTTTTAAAAAAGTTATCCTGCAATGAGCAGATGGTCTTGCCAACAAACTATTATATGCAATATGTGTGTTTTTACATCTCCAGTATGTCTGGGTGTGCAGTGTGCTTCCAACAACTCTGTGAGGTAGGTTAGGCTGCAAGTTGATTCAGTTCCCAGAGCTATAAAGGTACACATGACATGCTTACAACATTATTTGTGGCATATCAGGAGTGTGGAAGCAAAAGTTGATGCCTATAGTGCAAGCACTAAAGATTGAGAACAACATTGAGAACAACAACATATGTTATTATAACAATACATTCTTTCAGCATAACCTTCCAAAATCCACATACATATTGGCATTCCCACCACATGTGGAAATAGGAGGCAAAACAGAAGTCAAGGATGCTTTTCTTAAGATTTGCAAAACAACTGCTGGTTAGTTTATAAGTAGGGCTGAATCAGTTGGGAAGGAGGCTTTTATGCTCACAAATGCTAATTAAGAACCCACAGGTGTGTGTATGTGTGGGCAGCCAGTTTATGTCAACAGTTTCTTCCTCTGTGCCCTTGCAAGAGCTTGTGCTTATTTTATAATGACCTGTTGAGTTAAGCTGAGGAGTGTAGGGACATGCTCTGAATTCCAGCTCAACCAAGCACCCCACCAACAATAGTCCCAGGGCTCCTCTTCCTTGATCTAGTCTTTCAGATCAAGACATCACAATCAGTATCAACCTTTATTTTGGTCACAGACCAGCATAAGATAAAACCATCTTTCAATGAATGTCCATCATGGCAGCGCAGAATCTAGCAACTGAGGATATAACATCTGGATTTTCTGAGACATCGCAGTGTTGCAACCAATTCTCCTTAACTTAGGTTGCTTCTCCAGACTGCAGCAAATTGTCCTTTGGGCTTTTAAGTTTTGCGTGGCAATTCCCGCCCCCTCCCACAGATGTAGTAAATAAAGACACGGACACCAGAATTAAGGTTAATGGGCATAAATGGCCACAACTTTATTGATTACAAGTAAGAGCGGTATTGGCTTTAGGCATTGGCCCTAACAGACTACCGGTCTAACCGGGAAGGGTTAAGCACCAACAGGGGGAGCCCCCCGAGATGCACATCCGTAGGCGCTCCCCAAGGGGTTACCGCTCTGGAGCACGCTTTAGGCCCTAGCCTCCGTAGGTTTCGGACGAGGCGACGCCCCCCGGAGTCCTTTAACAAACTACCCTTCAAGAAGTGGGGGAGGTGATGGCGTTCCTCCCCCCCGACCTCATTTACATAACAAAACCCCTGCCAATGCCTAACCGCCAATACCAAGGAGTTGTGACGTTTTGCTACGAGGTAGGCGAAAAAACCAAGTGGCTTCAAAACACAGCCAATTAGCTAAATGGAAAAACTCCTACCAGGCCCCTTACGGCGACCAGTCGAAGCCCATAGCAAAGTCCAGCAGCAGCCTAGAGGGAGGGTGGGTGGGAAACCGCTGCTGCTGCAGAGAAGGAAAAGGGGCGAGCCAGGGCTGCCCCGACCTTAAGTGCACCTAGGTAAGCCCGCCCCTACCGGCAGCTGATTGGCCGGCTCGGGGGTGATGAATATGGATGAGCATGGGGAATCCCTGACTCCCGCGGTACTGCCGCCAGCCCCGCGAGATTGTAGATGGGGTCGTGAGTCCGCAACACCCCCCTCCTTATGTCTGGAGTGGCTTTATGCCAGCTGTGGGCACTGGATTGTATTGTAACCTTGAATTCTCAAACACCCATGGGCATGTTAACAGCCCCAGTGTGGACACTACAGCCCCACGTGACTTTGCACATCTCTTCGGTAGGCGTGGGTGATTATTCACACTATAGGGTACAGCAGAAGAAGAAGAAGCAAACAGACAAGAAGCTTTTGTGATATGCTCCAAGGATTTTATTGATTCAACAGCAAAGCAAAGGACTACAAAGATCATATGTAATGCTCAATCTTGAGAACACAAGAATATGGGAATGAGGAAGGGGTGACTTTGGTTCTTAGGCCAGCTGGCAAAATGCTAAGTGCCACAAATGCAATCTCTAGGTGGGCACTACTCTAGCATTGGCTTTCCCTAATTGGCCAAGCAGGGACTGTCGGTATCAGGTTGGTCATGGTTAAAACATTTGATGCAGGCTCTATTACCTGCATAGCACCGAAATAGTGGGGCATGCTGGATGCGTTGCCAGGCCCCCAACACAACCTCATCTTCTCTTATTGCATCCCATTTGAAAATGAATTGAAAAACAAAAGCCCTGGAATCTTCATTGAACCTGTTAAAAAGGGGGTTGACCACCTGTACAATGTTTCTCATGTTATTCTCATTGAGACATTTGGCCACACAGGGGGATAATTTGCTAAAGAAGATCAGGCAACTATTTTGGTCCTTATTGGCTAGGATCCTTTCTACTGGGCTATTCTGGCCTCCGTTCAGTAAGCGCCATTCGGCATGCTCTGTGAAATGTGTCTCAAACTTTGGCCTGGCTGCAACAACATCTCCTATCTGTGGTGGGTTATACATTCCATTTTCCTGCGTAATAGCCGTATGCATCTGAGCCATTTCGTCTGCAGGTAAAGCAGTCTCTAAATTCTGCCGTGTAGGATTTCTGCAGTATGTGTTATCCAGTCTTACAGCCACAGCATAATGGCCTTTGCGGATGCCAAACCTAAGAAAAAACAAAGGAAAGCTGAGAATGAGTGATGCTGAACTATTCCAAACCAGGTTCCTCCTTTTGGTCCATGTTGGCTTGATTTTTTATTATAGTCTCGGTTGCAGTCATTTGAATGGAGAGGCAGAGAAGTTCCAGTTCTACTGCAATATCTGTGATGACCTATTTATAGATAGAAGTCACAACTTAATGTTACAGCAGATAGCTGGGGTTTTTGGGGGGGATGGGATGCCAATAACCCAAGATGATGGAGTTTGTAATGTTAATTGGAATTAGATTTGCTAAGCAAAACCAGGAGTGCCATTAGAGCCAGACCAGTGGGTGCAGATCAGGGGTTCCATGCATCCTAGAGGGGAAATACCCTTTTCTTTTAAATACTGTGCTAGTAAAAGCACCATATTTGCTTGCAACAGAAGAAGGCTCCCAGCACATCAGCACTTTCCAGGACACCCATATGACTATGTGCTGCATAATCCCATGGGCATCCCAGGAAGTGAAGCCAGACATTGTGCTGCTCTGAGTGCACAAGGTTTTTTAAAAATAAAGACCACCTCAGCTATGGCACCGCTAATGTGTTTGGGGCACACTGGCTGAGGCTTGTAGCCAGCAAGGCTTGCATAATGCCCAGTTAGTTCCTTCCCAAATCACCCTGTTTCTCCTGCAGTGCCCTTTCTCCCAGAGGTAGGATGGTGGAGGAATGTGATTCAGTCCACATTTAAAGGTGAACCTACCAAATTTTCACTTTCCAAAACAGTTTGAAAACCAAAATAAGCCCCCCCCCCGAAATTCACACTTCTCCAAATTATGCAATGTACTTCTTGAGCAAGGGACGCGGGTGGCGCTGTGGGTTAAACCACAGAGCCTAGGACTTGCCGATCAGAAGGTTGGCGGTTTGAATCCCCGCAATGGGGTGAGCGCCCATTGTTCGTTCCCAGCTCCTGCAAACCTAGTGGTTCGAAAGCACATCAAAGTGCAAGTAGATAAATAGGTACCGCTGCAGCGGAAAGGTGAACGGCCTTTCCAAAACAATTTGAAAATCAAAATAAGCCCCCCCCCCCCCGAAATTCACACTTCTCCAAATTATGCAATATACTTTTCGAGCAAAGTAATTTGCACAAATGACCATTGACTTTGCTACAGCCCATTAAAGGACAGCTTTGTTTTCATGAACTTGGGGGATAAGTGCGTTAACAGGTTTTCTAGGAAGTGAAAAGACCTCACTGCTAAAGCCCCAATAGAAAGCAGAAAGGCAAGAAAGGGTATAAGTGTAAAACAGATGGGAAACGTTCGACTTCATTGCTATGAGAGTTTGGAGGACCTGTTCTGAAAGCAGAAGAAAATGACCATTACAACGTTAGAAGTACTATATAAATGGAAGAACCACTAACCTTTTAAAGTGCTGTAGAACTTAGGTATGCCTTCAGTGTTTACTGTTATGTCCTACCCATATAAGAACAAATTACTTCCTTAACAAGCTTATTTGGAAATGGATATCTAACTTAAGAGGGTGATTGGAGGAGAAAGCTAGTTCCATAGGAGGGGATTATTGTTTTTGTTTGTTATTATGGTGTATATTTTTGTGTTTTTATAACATGCCCTGTGGTCCTTGGATGAAGGACAGAATAGAAATTTCATTAATTAATTAATTAATTAATTATGCATATATTAAGGTACAGTATGCATAAAAATGCATGTACGTTGTAAAAATAACATAAAAAATCATTGTCTTAGGGAGGAATTTTTTGCAAAAATGTGTATGTTAGGAAAAACTGCATAAAAACTTGTGAATATAAATTTCCACTAAATGCTGATGATTTTTCTTGGAAATGTGGAAAACTGAAGAGTGGAAAGATGAGAACCTGAAATAAACCTGCTCACCCATCCTTATGCAGTGCTTCCCTGTACAGGCATCTTAATGTACAAGTTTTTATGTACCTTGCAATATTCACAGTCATAATGATATTGCCTTCAATTTGTTTTGAGGGGTTTTTCGAAATGTGTTGAACACTTGCTTGGAAAGCCCCAGAAAAATCCAAAACATTACTCACTCTCTGATGTAGTCAATGATTGCCTTCAAGTTGTCTGGATCTATAGACCCAAAGGCTCCACTTGTCAAACACAGCAGGAATGTCACACTCAACAGGCTGAAACCCAACCAACTTCTGGACACCTGTCAGAAGAAAACAAAAAGAGAGGGCACTCAGAGTAGCGTCATTGGCTAGGTCAGGGGTCTGCAACCCGCGGCTCCGGAGCCGCATGTGGCTCTTTTACACCTTTGCAGCGGCTCCGGGGCGGATACTAGCGAGGGGAGGAGGCGCATTGTGTGCCCCGACACTCCCCACTGTTTTAAATGTAGCAATGGTTTTGCGGCTCCCAGTTTTTTTTTTCTTTGGTCCAAGTGGCTCTTTTTGTCTTAAAGGTTGCAGACCCCTGGGCTAGGTGTTTCCAGCCACTCTGCTCCACCCCCTGCCTTTGGAAGGGTCATAGGAAGCTGCTGCCTGAATGGTGACTGTCTTTGGGAAGCTGAAAGTCCAGAAAATTGATCTAACTGGCTAGCAGTAGTGGGTGGAGAACCTGAGACTGGTAGAGGTTGCCAGAGCTAGACTGCAGAAGCTAGGCTATACCGTTCAGATAGGGGTGTAGCTGGACCATCAGCCCAAACTGATAGAAGACACTTCATGCCAATGAGGCTTCTTATGACTCAAGTGACAAGAGTGGCTCCAGAAATATCCCCAAGCTATGCATTCCCAGTTTCATACACCTACGCCTTAATTAGCTACATGAGGGTGCAATGCTATCTGGATATAAGATATACCTATCATATATTTTCTCAGTTCTAAAACGATTACATCGTACTTTAATTTTATTACTGTAAATCTTGAATATTTGTCTTTGAATTTAATCGTCTTACATCTTGTAAGCTGTTAATTGTTTTGAGCTGCTTGGAGCTCATCCTTGTTGTCAGGAAAGCAGCACATAGATATTAAATCAAAATCCTAATGTTGTAGAATTATACTGTTGTTGTTTTTCTTTTCAGTGAAGTTCAATGAAGCATTATCATCATTCCTACTTGTTTTGTAAGTAGGAATGATGATAATGTCTTATTGGTATGAATGTTATATTTATTCATAACATGTATTATATGCCACAATAATAGCAGAAGCTTGAGAGAGCCATATCAGATAAATTGTAACAGAGTTACTCACTGTCTGCTCCATAGTAAGAAAGTAGCTTGTCTCCCAGCCAAAGATGGTCTTCCTCCCACTTACAACAATAATTCACCAGCTCTTTATATAGCTATTCTGTTTCTCTTAGGAAAGGTTGGCTACCCCTCCTTGTATATAGAACTGCCAATCACAAAACAGAGAGTTGGTCAGGTGTTTTTTTAAAAAAAACCACCTGACCGATTACAGGAAGAAATTGTCACGAGGCAGGGAGGATCTGCAACTCTTTCTGTTCTTGGTAAGAGACCTGAAAGAGAAACCCTATGGTCACATCTTCCCTCTGCAACATGTAATGACTGTGAAGGGAACCCAAATATTGTTTGCTAAGCTCTTTAGACTGCAAATACATCTGCATCAGCATTTTGGGAAGATTCTTGCTACTGAAACCAGCACCATTACAAAACAGTGCATCAGCTGGTGACTTGCCTCTCTACAGCACTGTACGTCAGCCTTGGGTCCCTGGATGTTGCTGGACTACAACTCTCATTACCCCTAGGCTTCTTGGTCAATGGTCAGCGATTACAGTGGTACCTCAGGTTACATACGCTTCAGGTTACATACGTTTCAGGTTACAGACTCCGCTAGCCCAGAAATAGTGCTTCAGGTTAAGAACTTTGCTTCAGGATGAGAACAGAAATTGTGCTCCGGCAGCGCGGCGGCAGCAGGAGGCCCCATTAGCTAAAGTGGTGCTTCAGGTTAAGAACAGATTCAGGTTAAGTACGGACCTCCAGAACAAATTAAGTACTTAACCAGCGGTACCACTGTACATCAATACCAGCAAGAAAGAAAAATGGGAGGCATCTAAGGAAACTAGTGTGGATGCATAAGGAGCTTTCAGATGAGCTGAGAGTTAAGAAGGGGATGTATAAGAAATGGAAGAAAGGGGAAATCACAAAGGAGGTGTATACACGAGGAGCCAACAGTTGCAGGGGGGGAGTCAGGTGATAGTTCCTGTACAGTAAACCACTTGATTTTTAAGGCAAGGGATTCACATCCTCTCTTGTGTGGTTGTGTATTCCCACAACTCACGCATATGGAAGTCCTACCACAGAGATAGGGAACCTGTGGTCCTCTAGATGTTGTTAGACTACAACTTCCATAATCCCTGACCATTGGCTGTACTGGCTGAGGCTGATGAGAGCTGTAGCCCAATGATAGTGATACAGTCATAGGTTCCCTATGCCTGTCCTATCACATTACTTCTGTGCTCTGTACATTGTAATGCAAAAACCTGTGCTCCTACACAAACAAGCAGAATTGGTCCGTGCAAGATTCTGCCTCAGTATCCATGCCACAATCCTGGCCTCCACTCCATCCAACCAAGGATTTCACCAAACATCCACTTGCAACCGGAAATGTTGTGGATCAGCAAAATCTCCCTCACTACTTGGCAGGATGATAGCCTGCTTACCTAATGATGATATGTACACTGTGCTAAGTTACTGTTTATTAGGTGGTCATCTGTACTCAGCCCAGCATAAGCCTTCTTCTGCAACAATCATTCATTCATGCACTCAGTGGCATGGCTTCATGCACCTCTTCTCCTGCCTGCTAGAGCCTTCTGAAGTCTCTAGCACATCTCATCATCCATACAGAAAGTTCAACAAAAGATTCACATTGGATTGGGGGGGAACCCTTTTCAGCTCAAGGGTCATAGTTTTTCAGGGGTCACATCCCAGTGGTACCTATGAGACAACAGCGGGCGGAGCAATGGATGTGACTCTTCCATGTGGACAGTAAGCTACATTTCAGCCCAGCAAAAGCCAGAGGTTTCTGTTTCCCACATAACATCTCTTCATTCTATCTCAAGCAAATAAGAGGCATTGTCACAGTTCAAGGAAGCACTCCAAAAAGGCCAAAGCATTTGAGAGGGGATGAAGGAGGGGTTGGGTAGAGTCCCATTGGCCAAATAGAGAGGCTTGAAGGGTCTGGGGTTCCCCATCCCTGTCTCAGGGTATTTATCTATGACAGCTGGGGTGGGGAAGAAATTTGTACATTTTTTGCACTTTCCAAAACAGTATGTGAGCCAAAGCACAGCTATCTTTTAAACTTTGTGTTTGTCCTAATTTTGTGATGCAGTTTTTCAGTCAAAGGGGACGCGGGTGGCGCTGTGGGTAAAACCTCAGTGCCTAGGACTTGCTGATCGTATGGTTGGCAGTTCGAATCCCCGCGGCGGGGTGAGCTCCTGTCGTTCGGTCCCAGCTCCTGCCCACCTAGCAGTTTGAAAGCACCCTTAAGTGCAAGTAGATAAATAGGTACCGCTTTATAGCGGGAAGGTAAACGGCGTTCCGTGTGCTGCGCTGGTGCAGGCTCGCCAGAGCAGCGATGTCACACTGGCCACATGACCCGGAAGTGTCTTCGGACAGCGCTGGCCCCCAGCCTCTTAAGCGAGATGCGTGCGCAACCCCAGAGTCGGTCACAACTGACCCGTATGGGCAGGGGTACCTTTACCTTTACCTTTTTCAGTCAAACAATGCTTGTATGCATAAAAATGAAAGTGTGTGTGTTTGTGTAAAAATTGCTCTCAACGGTGTGCACATTTCTCAAAACTGCATATAAAAATGTTCTTATTGTGAGACATCTGTACTAATATGCTGGTGAAGTTCCATGAGTTTTCAAGTGTATGCTTAGGCCTGTGGTGCTAATACCAGAGACAGGAAAAAACAAGAAGCTATTTTGGCAAGATCTCAATATTTATTGATTCATCAGCAAAGCAGTAAAGTATACGCATCATATACAAAGGTTAAGCTGGTTAAAGCAGGGGAAGCCTTGACTCTATTGGCAATCTACACAGGAGCCCACCTGACAATCATGAGGTCCCACAACTACCTGCCATAAGGTGCATCATCACCATCTTTCTGGTTCTAATCAAGTAAGCATGGACTGTCAGCCTTTTGGTTGTTGTCAAAGCATTGAATACAGCCTCGGTTGTCATTGTAGCACCGGAATAGGGGGGAATTCCGGATCCTTTCTCAGACCCCCACCACAACCTCCTTCTGTGTGTCCTTCCCATAAACAGTCTCAAAAACAAAAGCCCTGAAATCTTGAGGGAACCTGTTAAAAAGGGGGTTGACCATCTCCACAATCCAGTTCTCATCTTCCTTGTTGAGACAGTGGTCTGTACAAGGAGATAATTTGCTAAAAATATCAGACAACCATTTTTACCCTTATTTTCCAAGATCCTTTCTACTGGACTATTCTGGCCTCCAGTCAGCAGGCGCCATTCAGCATGTTCTGTATCCTTTTTCATACCCATAGTATAAATAGAAATGCAGTACATCTCACAATAGTGAAGACTGTGACTAGTTGATCTCTGGGCTTGCTCACTCTGCTGTCCAAGTTCTAAGTATTGATGGGCAACTTCCAAGCCATTGCTTGCCCTTCTCGTGGTTCTTTATCTTTAAATAATACTTGGACCAAACTGCCCTACAATTAAAGGCTGCCTTCAGACAGATAACTGTTTATAACCTTCCCCTCCAAACCTCCAAATCTGAAGCTGCCAGTCCGCTCCCCTTTAAATCCAGTGGGAGAAAAGGGAGAAAGAAAGTGTGTGTGTGTGTGTGCGCGCGCGCGCGCAAAAAACACATACAACAAAAACCATAATAACACTAATAACACAATCTGACAATTCAGATTTAAACACTGATATACCTATGACTACACCTTTTTAACAATATTTCCCCATCTCTCCTCCCCCTACTTCCCACCACTGTCCGCCTTATCACTTAAATATTCCTTCCAGGTTTCTTCATATTTATCCACTCTTAATTTGCGTTGACATGCAATTCATTCGTATGTAGCTAGTCTGTCCATATTATCCATCCATGTGCTCAATAGAATCTTTTTGCGGCTCTTCCAATTCATCAAAACAAGTTTTTTTGCTTCTAATATGGCATGGTACATCCTTTTTTTTTTTACCCCTTGTAATCTCCCACGTTTCCAGAATATAATTTAGAATTAAATTAAATTCCCCTAAATAACAATTTCTTTTTATTACTCTTGCTATAAATGTCCTCACCTCGCACCAAAATGATCTTATCATCGGGCAATTAATCATCATATGTACTAGTTCGCATTTTTACTCCCACATCTCCAGCAGTTGTCTGCACTTATCATTTTCTTCTGGTATAGTTTTGCTGGAGTCCAGTGGACTCTGAATATTATTTTCTGCTGAATAAGTCTTAGTCTTAGATCCATACAGGCTATCTCTGTTGATTTTATACTTGACCCCCATATATCATTTGTTATCTGTACCCCTAACTCTTCATTTTTGTCTATCATATTCTAAATCATATTTCTTCTTGTTGAGTAGGGTTTTATATAGTGCAAGTGTAGAGCTCTTTGTTTTTGTTGCAGAAATTAAATCTTGTAGCAGCATGGGTGTTTCCGATGCTGCTAGAGCGTCAGGGCCAAACTGCCTTTCCAACATATGTTTCAATTGGATGTATTGCCATTGTGTTTCACTGGTTAATCCATACTTTACTTATATTCCACAAATTTGTAATTTTCATCAATTAATTGATTCAATGTCAAAATACCTTTTTCCATCCAATTTTGCCAAATTATTACTTGATTTCCAATTTTTAATTTTGGGTTGGCCCATATTGTTAATTTCTCCTTATTATTTTTATTTATATTCATTCAAATTTTTATAGGTGCTTTCATAGTCTCCAGGATAATAGGATATTTCATAAATTTGGAGCCGAGTTTAGTCCACCCTACAAGAGGTTCAAAGAAACTACATTCGAGAGTAGCCCAACTGGGATTCCTGCTAGCTCTCCAGTCGTTAGTCTTACTCAGCATGTAGGCCTGGTGATATAGTTCCAGATCTGGGAGACCAAAGCCACCTTCCTTAGTTGGAAGTTGCATTTTATGTAGTGATATTTTTAGTGGCTTTGTACCCCATAGGCACGATCTAAATAGTTGATTTGTTTTTTGGAAGTAAAATTTGGGAACATGTATTGGTAATCCTCTAAGAATGTATAAAAGCTTTGGAACGACATTCATTTTGAGAGCATTAATCTTCTTCTTTTATAGAGCCATTCCACCTCTCTGGGGGAGGAGCCTCTCCTACAGTTTCAAATTGCATAGAGTAAACAAAACAGGAATGAGTTGAGTTCCTAGGAAGGATCTGAAGCACGTCACTACATGTAAAAAGAATGGTGGAACAGGAACTGTGTGATAAAACATAAAAGACAGTTGACAATCAAGGAGGGTGGCCAATTACTAATGCAAAATTCCACCAAAGAAAAGGAACTGGTGTTTCTGGAGAACTGTATAAATTGCCATGTGTCATCTGCTTAACCTTGAGGTGATCTTTCGTTTTGTTTTTTGGCATGGAGTCTATTCATTCCATGGAAGTCAGGGAGAGTGAAAGATCCAAGGTCATGTACACAGTCAAATATTATGACAGACTCCTTCTGTAAACAGCTTTGTGGGATTTCTAAGGAAATTGTGTAAGTGGTGCTTTTCTCTTTCTTCCTCTGTCTGCAGTGTGGCAACAGGGGGCAATCTGGGGGCAGAAGTTCACAGCCCCACTTAACAGAGTGAGCTGGAGGTCACAAACTGGAGAAGGGCTGGGTTGTGGCATTCTCTTTCTTTTGGTGTTAAGATTTTTATTAAAGTTTTTCATAATACAGTAAGATATAGAAAACTAATGTAATTTTTTTATTTAAAAAAGCTACAGAGGGTCTCTCCATCAACCATCTATCACTCCTGGACCCTAATAAAAGCCCTGACTACAGGATGTCAGAGAAGAGAGAGAATGAAGAAAAGAGAAAAGGAAGAGAAAGAATCAGAAAGAAGAAAGAAAAGAGAGGCAGGGGGGAGAGAGAAAGAGAAAGGAAACAATTTAAAATTTAAAAAAGGACTTCTTATTTTCCATTTGCCGGTTGCAGTAAAACAAAATGATAACATACAAATCTCCTCCACTTTCTGTTAAACAATATTTCTTTGAAGTCCAATTGTCTCAAAATCATTCATTTCCTTGTCCACAAATGAAAAGATACATTGCATCAACAGCAGTACAGGGGTACCTTGGGTTAAGTACTTAATTCGTTCCGGAGGTCCGTTCTTAACCTGAAACTGTTCTTAACCTGAAGCACCACTTTAGCTAATGGGGCCTCCTGCTGCTGCCGCGCCACCGGAGCACGATTTTTGTTCTCATCCTGAAGCAAAGTTCTTAGCCTTAAAGCACTATTTCTGGGTTAGCGGAGTCTGTAACCTGAAGCGTATGTAACTTGAAGCGTATGTAACCCGAGGTACCACTGTATTTCTACATTAGTCTGCAATGTTGTTTTTTTAACCAAGCAGCATTTTAGTGCAAATTTATCCATATATCTATATCTATGTTTTGGTTTTCCGAGTTTATACAAAGACAGGATGAAAGAAGAAGAAATACTAATGAGGACATAAGGAGAACTGAGGTGTATGCTAAATCTAAGTCAGCTGTGCTGTGTTCATTTCTGCCAAAAGGAATGTGAGCTAAGTTCTCCAATGGAAGCATCCATGATTTAATTCTTAGAATACCCCCTACAACCATGATCACCTGTACAATAAATATAATGGGGAAACACAGAGTAGTTGTGGGGCACACGTTCACACATTCCCATAAATCCTTGCCACTGTCCTTTTTAATGAAATATAGATTACAGTGTACCGTAAAGACATGCTTTTATATTGTCTCATTTTTTTCTCCTTATTAGCTGTTCCCTGCTGTTCAGCTCGGGCCTCAGCACAATGATGTAGCATTTAGGGGAAAATATGCAACCCAGTAATCCAGCACCAGAGGACAAGATGGAGAAGATTTCCACAGCCACCATGTATTTTCCCTTGGTGCTGAAGTAGGTTGGAATAAAAGTCAACCAAACACTGCAAAACACCAACATGCTGAAAGTGATAAATTTGGCCTCATTGAAACTGTCAGGCAACTTCCTGGCTAGGAAAGCTACAATGAAGCTGGCAAAGGCTAGGAAGCCTATATAGCCCAAGACACAGTAGAACATGGTAGCTGAACCTTCATTACATTCTAGTATTATCTCTCCATGCACTGAGTGCATGTCTCTATCTGGGAACGGAGGAGAAGTAAATAACCAAAGAGCACAAATGCCAGCTTGAATGAAGGAGCAGGAAAGGACCATAGAATTTGCCAGCCCTTTCCCCACACATTTCCTCATCTTGGCCCCTGGCTTGGTTGCCATGAATGCCAGGACCACAGTGAGGGTTTTTGCCAACACAGATGAAAGAGCCACAGAAAAGATGATGCCAAAAGTAATTTGTCGAAAAAGGCAGATGATCTTTCCAGGTTGTCCAATGAAAAGTAAGGAGCAGAGGAAGCAAAGGAGGAGGGAGATGAGGAGGATGCTGGTAAGGGTTGCGTTGTTGGCTTTGACTATGGGAGTGTCTTTGTGCTTCATAAAAATTCCAAGAACTAAACTTGTGATCAAAGAGAAAGAAATAGCAGTGGTAGCTAAAATATTCCCTAAAGTTTCTTTATAAGAAAGGTAAACTAGAATCTTGGGGATGCATTCAATTTGGTTGTTGTTGGGATACTGGTCTTCTGGACAACCGATGCAGGCATCCATGTCTGAAAAAAAGGAGGAGCTGTTTAAGTACAGTGAAACCTCTACTTACCGCCATAATCCATTCCGGTGGCCCACCCTTTAGGCGAAATGGGTCACTGGTAGAAGCGCTGTTGTGCGCAGGTGCAGACGGCAGCAGCTGCTTTGCTGCGGTCGCGACTTGGATCGGGCCCAAGTAGAGGCAGTCATAAGTAGAAAATGTAAAAATGTTAACCAACATCTTCCTTATGTTTATGTTCTTGCAGTTCTTTCACCAACGCTAGGAGAAAGGACTCCCATAATTTTAAAGAGAAAGTGAGAATGTTTGGTGATCACACTGATCTGGTAATGGCTAAATGTTTCTGTGTAACCCAAGGTTTTTGTGATGCAGACCTCTTCTCAAGTCATGAACATAGAAGGTTGTCCTTGGAAATGCTGTTATTTATCAATCTTAACCCTCATGTGTAATTTACAAAATGGTTATAGGTGTTATTGCAATAATGTAGGTGGAGCACTTTAAAAATTCAATATGTACTTTTCACATGCCAAAGTATTATTATTGCTTTTACTTCTAATTTTTACAGTTGTATTTATTTGCGTATGGAGAATCCCTTAATCCCAAAGCATGATATGAAGGCACATTGCTGTCACAGAGCGAGCTGGTCAGTAAATCACAATGTTCAAAGCTAGAGTTAACCTTGATTAGAAAAAAAACAATCTTCACGTACTTGGCTGAGTTTCAATACCTAATGAGTACAGCAGCTCATTCCTTGTGGGTCTTACTCCATGAAACCAGTTACCGAGACTAAAGGTCGTCCCCCTCCCCCAGCCATCTATGTCTCCTCCTCTCCGGGGGTTTTTCCTAGCAATTGGAAACTGTGCCTGTGTTCTGCTCCTCCCATTTTGTGCCTCTTCTGGTTTTCAGAGTTGGGGGGATGGGAGCTTGTCACGGAAGGGAGGGGAGACACCTTTGATTCTTCACTAACCTGCCTCATCTCTGCCTCTTGACCTCCCTCCTCCTACTCACCAGTTTTAGCTTCTGCCTCTGATTATTGACTTCTCTCAACTAGGTCATGCTATTTTATATTCCCTGTGTCTTTTATAAAATGTATTGATTATTCCTCCTACCCTTCTGGTGTGAGATCTTCCCTTCCGGACAACGAGCACAGTCATAGCAACAAAATCTCTCTCCTTCTTTCTTCTTCCTGCTGTAGCCAGGATAGCAATTGTCATTGCACACAGAAATTGGCAGCACCTGTACAGAAACATGAAGGATTAGCAACAAAACCAGTCATCAATTCAATGCAATTTGCTTACTTGGAGAAAAAGAAACCTATTGCATGCCCTATAGGCCACAACAGGAACTCCTGGAACTCAGCCAACAATATTGCTAGTCCATCTAGGATTACACCAAGCCAGGTGGAACAGTATATTCTTCCTTGGGACCTCTTCTTCTGACCTACCTAATGCACAGATATGATACACTGTTGCCAAAATGAATACATTGGACTACAAATGGAAGGCTGAGAGGCAATGCTTGAACATCACATTTTACAGCTTCCTCCCTCTCAAATACATGTTTAGATACCTGCCAAGTCATAATGATATTCTATGCTCCTTGACAGTAAAATTATTGTCCAGCCTAGGATCCTCCAGTCCAGTTCTAGCAATTCCCAGTGGGGTGAATGAGACAGAGCCACTTTGGCAAACAGAAATAGCATGAGCTGATATTGCTCTCCAAGCACATTGTCACCATACATCTAAGTTGTCAGTTTTTACACCTCTGTAGAGATGCTCTCTTTACATATAACCAGAATTTTAAAGAATCAGTGGGAGGGTGAAAGCTGTACTTCCTTTATCTTTCTCATTCAATTTGCTCTTCTTCAAAACAAGCACCTGCAAAAGGTAGGTAGTCTAAAGTGCTGGGATGATGGGAGTTGTGTATTCTACCAACCAAGATGACAAAGTCTCTTTGAGATGAGACCTTGTTCATGGAATAAAGAGATTCTGTGAGATTTTAGAAGAATTAAAACTAATGCAATAAGATGCTTTCAAAAGCATTAACAATGCCTTTTTGAAAATTGAGCATACTGACTCTTATTTACTCAATCATTTGATGCCATGTCTCACCTGATTAAAGCTTTGGTGCCAGACAATCTGGTCATCATGAATGGTTAACTCTTTGCCTGGAGGAGCCTGGGGTTCCAGTCTTCCAACTTTTACTCTAGCCACCGAGCCATTGGGAAACATCATCCAGTTTGTGACATCAAAACTGGCCACTAATTCTCCATTTACATCAAAGTACACAATGTCTCCAGCACTGTTATTGAATATGGTGTTACCTAGAAAGTGATGCACCTAATTTGGAAGGGTATATTGACAAAGAGATACTTACGTAGGCCTCAAAAGTAATTTAATATTTAGCATTCTTAAAAGTCTGTCCTGCTCTTATTTGGTTATGAGTTCACTATTTCTAGCTGTCATTTCTTGACCCATTGTTGATAAAACTGTCATTAGTCTATCATGAGTCTGGTGCTACTTGTCAAAATGAATAGCCCTCCCCCCCCATACCCTAACACTTACCAACTGTTGGTATGTAATCAATAATAATAATAATAATAATAATAATATCATCATCATCATCATCATCATTTTATTTATATTCCACACATCTAGCTGGGTTGCCCCAGCCATTCTGGGAAGCTTCCAACACATACAACCATAATAAAATGTCAAACATTTAAAACATCTTGATACAGGGCTGCCTTCAAATGTCTTCTACAAGTTGTGTTTATCTCCTTGACGTCGGATAGCAGGGCATTCCACAGGGAGGGCGCCATTGTCGAAAAGGCCTTCTGACTGGTTCCCTGTAATTTTACTTCTTGCAGTGAGGGAACCACCTCAAGGCCCTTGGAGGTGAACCTCAGTGTCTGGGCTGAAAAATTGGGCCTGGAGATTGGGTATAAATGATGATGATGATATAATATTATACAGGATCAAGGCTGTTAAGGGCTTTCAAGATCATCACCAACACTTTAAATTCTGATCAGAAACGTACTGGGAGCCAATGGAGATCCTTTAGGACCAGGTAGCCGCTCCCAGTCACCAATCTAGCTGTCTCATTCTGAATTAGTTGTAGTTTTCGAGTTGCCTTTATCTCTGGGCCATAAACTAGTCTGTTTCGTTGCCATTGTGTTTAATTGTCATTACCTGCCAGGGTTGTACATTCTGAAATCCTAGTTTTCCTCCTTCTTCCATTCTTCTGTATCTGGAGCTCTGTGTGTACATGGCATGCAAAGCATGTGCCACAGCATAGACAGCATTGTAGATGTTGTAACTGTGGCCAGTCATGTGCATTTCAAATAGATTTCCAGGAAGATTCTCTAGCTTCTCCTTTCCAGTGCAACTCTTCTTCCCCTCTTCCTCCTGTCCATTAGACTTCTTTAATGAGCAGCTGAATGCCTGTTCCCAGAAGTCCTGGATAAAACCATTTCCTTTGGCCCAGGAAGGTCTTATTCCTTCAAAGAACTTTTGAAATCCCAATGGCTGATCTGAATGAACAGTGAAGGATATGGAACCATGAAAGGTTTGCATATCCCAATTCTTTTGAACAGACAGTGATTCAAAATCCCAGTGGGAGGTAACAACCCACACTTTGCCAAGAGGTGGCAGTGACAAGAAAGGTGCTAGAAAGAGCAACACTCTCAAAACCTGAAAGGATGGAGGTTCTCCATATATAAAGAATACATTGACTTTTCTCTCCATGAGAATCTCATAATTGTTTTGCTGCTGTATAAGCAAATCTATCAGTTCATCCATATAACTCCATTTTGGTATTCTTACTATGAAGGCATAACATAGGCCATTCTGGGAAAGCAGTGGCACCATTGTATGCAGAAAGCGGTCCCCTTTGTCATCAGCCACAGCCAGGAGCCCAACCCACGTCCATCCGAAATGCTGAAATAACCGCACAGCTCCCATGTGTTGATGGGCTTCATTGGGTACCATCTGGTACAAAAATGGAAGTAGCATTTTGCCATGTTGTCCTGTGAAAAATGATCCATAAGGAAGCTGAAAGAAAACGTATAGTAATTTTTCACATAACAAAAAGGTCTGTCTTTGTATCCTAGAGCTGGAAATGGTCCAGTAGGCAATCAAGTGCAAAATCTAGCATGATGCAGGAAATCAATATATATCACCCACGATATATGACTTTTTGTGGCTCTGCCTGAAAAACTCCGGGGGTACTCTAAGCGAACCCCAACTTTGGCATGCACACACCCTCAAGCTCAATTTTAGATCCTCTCAATTTGGAGCCCCCTTGGCTCGGTGTCCTGTGAGGGGAAACCATCCACCCTGCCCTAAATCTGGCACTGCTCCAGCAAGGACCCTTTGGTAATTGTTTCTATATTTGAACTACATTTAGCATTAAGAAGAATCTCCTAATGCTGTTCCAAAATCTTGTCCTACCCTTTGGAACAGCAGGTGAAAATTTGTTTCCCAACTCAATGTCACAGCTATTCAGAAATTTTGTACTTGAAGAGGGATGTAAGTTTCACGTCCCCCCACCCACCCACACATTTTAATCTCCTCTTCCCCGGGCTAAATATACCCAATTCCTCCAACCTTTTGTCATAGGCATTTCTCCCCATTCTCCTGACCATCTTCACCGTCTTCCTCTGAAGCTGTTTCAAGTTATCTTTATCTATGATAAAGTGCAGCACTGAGGACTGAACATACTACTAAACTTGAGGTGTGCTAATTAAATCACATTCAGCTTTTACTTCTCAATATATAGCACTTTGGTTGCATTGATGCAGCTTAAATTGCATTAAGACTTTGCCGCAGCTGCATCACAGTAGTAACTGATAGTTAGCTCTTGGTCTACTACAGCGGTTCCCAAACTTTTTATGTGGTGGGAGTCTTTTCAAGAGAGAAATTAATCATGGAGCAGTATTGTCACCCTTATGCATGGGCATTTGGGGCTGTTTTTACATTTATTTATTTATTTATTTATTTATTTATTTTTACATTTATTTTATTTATTTTTCTTTCCAAGCTCTTCACGGAGCACTTGAAGATGCTTCATGGAGCACCATGCTCAGTTTGGGAACCATTGGTCTACTATATCTCTTTCAGGTGTGTTGTTGTTCTGCCAGTTGTCCCCTATCCAAAGGTTTGCTTTTGAAATTTTTTTCTGCCTTAGTTTGGCACTTTGTTTATTTGCATTTTGTTAGTTTCAGAGCAGTTTTCCATTCTTTATCTTTCATCAACCTAATGATATTACCATATAGTCTGCATTGAAACAGATTTCTAATGAAACTTTTTGAACTTTTTGAATGCTGTGCTGAAATCAAGACTAGGGATACAGGAAATAATCAGTTTGTTTCTAACCCATATTCATTGCAATCAGCACTGTTTCCATGCCACTGCCACTAAGAATTACATTCATATCTCTGTCTGCTGTGCCCAAATTTTATGCAATTAACTATGTCATTAATGATGTCATTACATCATTTCAATGCAATGCCCATTTCATTTCAATGTAAAGCAAACATCAGAAAAAATTATATATGTGTGTGTGTGTCATCTGTTACACATCATTTGGGGACTGAAAACAACAACAATGAATAAAGATCATATGTGCTTGCATGATTTCCATTCCTGACCACAAATGAACATGTAAACTGAGGCAATTTCCATTTCCATGTGTGCCACTTTTGTGGTATCTCTAGAGCTTACCTGTGGAATCTTGTGGATTGCTGAAATAACGGCCATATTGGCAGAGATTTCAGAGACAGATCCTCCAATTAAAGCTATCAGCTTGTTCTGGCCAATACAAGAGAAGTTGGGGACAAACTTCTGTTTGGAAAGCAGGCTAAGGCTAGCTTTATAAGTCATTCTTGCGGTGAAGTAGCTATTGAGGATATAGAAGCCCATGGAGGCATTTGATAAAATGCTAGGATTCTCATTGATCTCTTTGACAGCAAATGCTAAAGCCAGAATGTGCTGGTAGTTCTTAGGCACTGAACTGTAAAAAGAGGTACAGCCTGTTTAATAAAGCAGCAGTAAAGCAGCAGTAAAAATACATTTGTACACTTCATCAACATTCATCTGCAAACTATTGATATTGAGATGTAACTCAATGCCACAGAAGTTGAAAAAGCAAAGGTATAGCAAAGTTAGCAGAAAGTAAGATATATGAAACAGGTACTCTTCTGATGAATAGTTGAATGATCAGAATGTTTGGGGATTATTCAAGAACTTAACATGCTGCTCCTTACATTTGTTAGGTTCACTTTCTTTACAACAATAATTCACTCCTTTTGCACACAAACACAAGTGCTAGCCCAAAATAGATTTGACACATATAATGTACTTCCTAGCTTTTGAAAGCAACCTCTGAGAAGAGACAAGTGAGCCTCTTCTGTTGTCTCTCCAGTAACTTTCTTGGTATTCACTAATGCCTGACCATGCAAACACTCTATCCATGGGTCTGGGATGTGCCTCCAAGCCCTGCCCCAATGACCTGTGTGCATTGCCTCAAATGCTCAGCCCTCAACATTCCCTGTGTTGAGTGGGGAAGCTCTGCAGGAGACATGTTATTCATGTTTGCTTGAATGTGAGTAGAACACCTCTGACTATCATGGGCTGTGCTTTATTAATCAACATAGGGACTGGGAAGGCATGCGAGGACATTGGGAGTGGGCCTTGAATGTGTGCCTCTCCCTTGTCCACCCATTGAACCTTTACGTGTCTATGAACATGCCTTAAAAACCTCTGTAGCAACCATTTCAATCATTGAAGAAATATCAGTGCAAGCAACTAATGGATCATTTAATCTCCTAAAGCCAGGGACACATTGCTGTAATTTAAATGCATCTACCATTTGCAGATGAAATGAGAGAAGATAATGCAAGCAAAAGGTGCCAAGGGGAGACTTCCAACCGTCCATAAACTCAGCTGCATTTGAAAACCATAATCCAGTTATGTCAAGAGAGTGCAAAGTGCCTGAGGGACAATTCAGAAATTACTTTTCAAGAAACATATACTATGATATTTCACTTGTGCAGTTTAAAAAATATTAATAATACATGGTGACAAGACTATTCTTAAAAACATATTCTTCACGCACATACTCTCATTAGGGAGTCAGATTTGATTGTGGGCCCCTCTCCATGGTGTTTTAATTTCCAAACATAAACCCTAGATTGTCCCTGTGTAAGGTAGCTAGCTATGTGTTGCAGCTTCAGACAATAAATAATGACTTAATGGTACTTAATTATGTGCTCTCAGATACTGAGAACTGAACTATTATAGAATGAGAGATCAAGGGGGGGTGAGAGAGAGAAAAGGAAGGAAGGAAGGAAGGAAGGAAGGAAGGAAGGAAGGAAGGAAGGAAGGAAGGAAGGAAGGAAGGAAATCTTACATGGATTCCTCAATCAAGGCCTGTGCTGGCTGTTCCAAGAAGGAGAGGTTGTTATAAAGGAAATAGACTTGAGAAACAATTCCCCCAATCACAAAATCTCCTGACTGGTAAAATTCATGGGGAATAGGATGGGGATCATCATATATGGAACAATTAATAGAATGAGTCTTGCATACAGTATGACACAGCATTATAAGCAGCAATGTCACCACCAACATGATTCTGTTGACAAAAAGTCCTCTCCAAATGTAGATTTCCATGTTTCCATCTACAGCATCCTGTAAGGCTAGGAACAGCTTTGCCACAGTCTCCCTTGAATTTTGGTTGATTCCGTTGCTACATTGGGTCTTTTAGGGAATTTGTGTGCCCATCTTGTAGTTAAAAGTAGCTCCTTGTCGATCTGTGTTCCTGTACATAATTTTCTTTTTATTGCCTCACTGTATTCTCAAAGGGAGACTGAGAAGTACACATTTTCCTTTTCTTAAAAAATAGTCATACACGCCTCTTCATGTACAGGTATCTATTATTTTGCTTTAAAGTGTAAAAAAAAAAAGTGTAACCTTGAGGATTTTCAATCAGCTAGTCCAAATGAGGGTGAGACAGTGTGCAGCAATGAATGTGTAAATCAATAACTAATCAATGTGGCCTAATTTTTCACAGTAAGAAACTGGGAAGTGGAAGATGAAATGGGCAAGAAGAGAGGATAAGAATTGGGGGTGGGGGTTAAAATCATGACAGAAAAATCTTGCGGAAGCAATGGTAGCATATAAAGGGGAAATGATCATAGGAAAAAAATGGCACTGCCATACCTATGCCTAGATCCTGTTCTTAACAATATGTGTGGTTGTCCTCAGGTGTTGCTTGTTGATCTTGCGAATGGGCTTCAGTTGTCAATTGTGTAGGAAGACTTTTAAAAAACAGTAATTATGATTCTATCTTCCCCAGTGTGTTGCTGGTCTTTGAAGTTTGTTACCGCTAGGAGTTCCTCTCAAATTATAGAACAGTTATTTTCTTCATAGAGGGATAATAATTAGTTTGTGGAAATTTGCCTGGTGACCCCAGGTTACCTTTGCCCAGGACTATATTTAAGTTTATCCACAGATCACTCAAAATTAGTATAATGTGAAAGCTGAGGTTTAACTTCAGTTACAGCCTGGAGAATTTGAGGCTCAGCATTATGTTGGTATATAGCTCTTCATGTTGTCAGGGGGTTTTTTTGTATGTATTTCTTCTAATGTACCATTTTTAATGCAAGTTTGCCTAACATTTTTGCAATGCAATGTTCCACAATATAATGCATAATATACATTCTCTTCACTAATATATGCATTTGTATGCACACTTTAGTCTAGTCTATGCATTATTGCACACATTACTTGAATTGCAGAATTCAGCGACATACACATTTGGAAGGATAGTTGTGTTTTGTATGCATATTGCGTCAGAAAGTGTGAATTAGGTAGGTTGACCTTTAAATGCAAACTAAACTAAATTTCTCCTCCATCCCTGGGTAAGACTCACAATCCTTGTTCTACCCATATTCTACTCTGACACACACTGTGCTCCTAGAAGGTTGCTCTTATGGGAATATGGCCCATGGGCCAAAAATCCCTGTTCCCAGTGGAATTGTGGCAAAGAAGCAGTTGTGGCATGGCACGACCATGGTGGAGGGGGAGGTCCTCCCCCTAGCCTTAGCTAGCCTCTTCCATCATGCAGGATGCCACACCCATGACCCCTGGAGGGGAAAAAGACACCATGCCAGTATAATTTCAGCATCTTTTTCAGCTAACATAGCAACATGGAAGGAGGAGGGGAATCTAGAAGCTTTTTCCATTCTCAAAGAAGCTACAGCTGTTGCATGGTCCCCTGTCCTGGTCCACAAGTTGAATGTTCCTATTTGGGAACTGGACGTAGTTACAGGCAGCATAGGGCAGGGTGTCTATGAACAGTCTTGAGATGAATGTCAAATCCAGGTGGGCCGAGCCTCTGCTGAAAAGAAAGTAGTTGTTCCCCAGTGTAAGCATTCGTTGCTGAATCCTCATGAAATACAACCAAGACCCTTATTCCCAGTGAAGTACATCTAAGACCTGGCTAAAGAGATGAGCTTACATTATTTTATCTTTATTTTTATTAGTTGCTCTTTGTATTCAAATCTGGCCTTGGGATAATGATCTACTAAACATACCCAAATTCTCATGAGATCCCTAGCATCAGTATTTGCATGTGAAGACCCCCAAACCCCCTCCAAAATAAATCACACAGGACACAGAATATTTGTTTAAGATTTTTGGCATTAATTTTGGCCACAATTTTATTGATTACAGCATGTGTGAGTGGTAGCTTAGCATTGGTTCAGACTACCTGAACCTGCACCTGCAGGAACAGGACTCACAACTGGAACCTCCAGAGGTCAGTAAGTGAAAACATACTGGGGGAGCACAGAGGCGAATTTCCGCCTCTTAGTTTACCCCAGATGCTCCTAGGAACTCTGACATGGCCCTACCCCTGAGAGGGGATCAGACAGAGTACATCGAGCCCCTGGATTCCATTAACGGAATTCCCTAGAGCAGCAACAAAAATGAGGGGCAGGCACAGGCAATCCATAATCCCCTCCACCAAAGAATGAACCAATGCCTAACCGCCAACCTTACAAAGTGACGATTTGCTACACGGTAGGCAAAACCAAATGGCACCAGCCAATCAGCCAAGTGGCAAAATTCCTACCGGGCCCCTGCTCCAAAAACAGACCACCCCTAGACAGGCATAGCAAGGCCAAAAACACAACTTTAAATTACAGGGAGGGAGAGAGGGAGATCCATTGCACAATGCGAAAAAGAAAGTACTTCGCCTTGTGCGGCCCCTTAAATAGCCCCTTAGTTGCCAATCAAACCCCAACCAACAGAAAATTTTCCCCAGCAACAAAGGGGCAACCAATGAGGTGAGGAGGTCATCCAAATGGGTCTGCCCCAGCAACAAGAAGGCAGTTTGGTGAGCTCACCGCAACAAGTGGCTCTCCATGATTTGGAGGACACGATTTCCAGTGAAGGATATATAAGAGCACAAAGAAGAGATGAACTTAGATTACTTCACTTCTTCATCCTTATTAGATGTTCCCTGCTGTTCAGCTCAGGCCTCAGCACAATGATGTAGCACTTTGGGGAAAAGATGCAACCCAGTAATCCAGCACCAGAGGACAAGATGGAGAAGATCTCCACAGCCACCATGTATTTTCCTTTGGTACTCAAGTAAGTTGGAATAAAAGTTAACCAAACACTGCAAAACACCAACATGCTGAAAGTGATAAATTTGGCCTCATTGAAACTGTCTGGTAACTTTCTGGCTAGGAAAGCCACAATGAAACTGAGAATGGAAAGGAAACCCATATATCCCAACACACATGAAAAGATAGCAGGCGAACCCTCATTACATTCTAATATAATTTCCCCACTCGATGAGTACATGTCCATATCTGGAAATGGCGGAGAAGTAAGTAGCCAAACTATACAAATAGCTGCTTGAATGCAGGAACAGGAAAAGACCATAGAGTTTGCTAGTCCTTTTCCCACCCATTTCCTCATCTCGGATCCTGGTTTAGTTGCCATGAATGCCAGGACTACCGTGATAGTTTTTGCCAACACAGAGGAAAGGGCAACAGAAAAGATTAAACCAAAGGCTGTTTGTCGCAGAAGGCAGATGGCCTTTCCAGGCTGTCCAATGAAAAGCAAGGAACAAAGGAAGCAAAGGAGGAGGGAGATGAGGAGGATGTAGGTGAGGGTCTGGTTGTTGGCTTTGACAATGGGAGTGGCCTTGTGCTTGATAAACGTTCCAAGGATTAAACTTGTAAGCAAAGAAAAGGAAATAGCCAAAATAGTTAAGATGATCCCTAAATCTTCTTTATAAGACAGATAGCTTAGGACCTTGAGAATGCATTGAGTTTGGTCAATATTGGGGTGCTCGATTTCTGGACATTTGAAACAGGCATCCATGTCTGAAATAAAATGAAGATATAATAAGTATTTCAAGATGCCGAACTACATCTTTCTGTAAGAATCAGTTACAACAATCAATGAATTTTGTATGCTTTTGATTTTGTTTTTACTAGCTCTAGAAAGAAAGAAAATAGAAATTGCATCTTTTTGCGTACCCATGGTTCTGAATTTGCACATGGTTCTGTACTGTAGTAATGTAATGGCTATGTGTTTTTCTGTATCCCAGTAATTCCATAATTCAGGGTGATTCATGAGAAGGAGAGGGAAGATATTGGGATCAAAGTTAAGGAGCTACTGGCAGGTTTTTTGGAAAAGGTGGTTAAATATATGGAGGCAGAATTGGGTGGTTTGTGAAAGAGCCTTATTTGTAGTGGCTCCAAAATGATAAAACTCCCTCCTCACAGAGATGTATTTGGCACTAAAACTTTATATATTTATATGTATATTATAGTTTCTTTGTAACTGTATTTTTAGTCTATGTAATTTGCCCTGGGACCTTAAGATGAAGTAGGGGCAAGAAATACCAGGAACAAACAAACAAAAAGGAACTAGGTATTGTTTTTTTGCTTCCTATGTATTTTGCTGGTATTTTATGCTCCCTGTGTCTTTTGTGAAATTTATTGGTTATCCCTTATACCTTTCTGATTAGAGATCATCCCTTCCGGACATGGAGCACAATCATAACAGCAGAATTTCTCTTCCTCCTTCTTTTTCCTACTATAGCCAGGATAGCAGTTATCATTGCATACAGAAACTGGCATCACCTGCATGGAAATATGAAGGTGTGGTTAGCAGCAAGGCATCTTCTTTGCTTCATTGAAGACCAAAGAAGAGACCAAACTCTAAAATGTTTTTCATGTATCCATGGGCCACAACTGCAACTCCCAGAACTTGGCCAACAATATTGTTAACTCAGGCAACCCAAAATGCACAAACCAATCAACCCTGAGCATCCCATAGTTTCAGGCACTGGTACTAACTATCCCAGTAGACAAGGCTGGTGCTTGTATGAAGTAAAAGGGTAAAGGTACCCCTGACCATTAGGTCCAGTCGCGGACGACTCTGAGGTTGCGGCACTCATCTCGCTCTATAGGCCGAGGGAGCCTCTGGGTCATGTGGCCAGCATGACTAAGCCACTTCTGTTGAACCAGAGCAGCACACGGAAAACGCTGTTTACCTTCCCGCCAGAGCAGTACCTATTTATCTACTTGCACTTTGATGTGCTTTTGAACTGCAAGGTGGGCAGGAGCTGGGACCGAGCAACGGGAGCTCACCCTGTCGCAGGGGATTCGAACAGCCGACCTTCTGATCGGCAAGTCCTAGGCTCTGTGGTTTAACCCACAGTGCCACCCGCGTCCCCCTTGTATGAAGTAGGGTGAACCAATTTACCTCAGGCGGCAGATCCAACCAACTCCCCTTCCCATCCTTTCCCTCACTATTGCACTGCTGCCACCCCTTCTGCAACTTTGCCCTTGCCGCCACCACAACTGACACAACAGTGCTCTTGCCCTCACCATTAATGCTGCCCCTCGCTGCTGCTGCTGCTGCTGCTGCTTTGTTGTGGCAGCAGCATGGGTGCAGCCACAGGCAAGGGTGCAGTTGTGGTGGTGGACGGCATGGGTGGCAGCCCATGTGAGGGAGAAGGGACCCTGAATCTGCAGGGGGTGGGGTATGGCAGCATCAACAGTGGGAAGCAGCAGTGGGGAGGCATTTTGCATACAGAAGCAAAATGTTCCAGACCGCCCTTGCCAGCATAGGTGTCGGTTATATGGACTCCATTCTTAGACCATATGCCACAAAAACTCCAAGGCATTTGTGGAACTTCCTGAGAAACTCAGCCAACTATATTGTTAATCCAGCCTGGTCCAGTCAATAGAGTCTGCCCTTTTATGGGACCTCTTCTTCCATGTCACCAAAAATACAAATGTGCCTCTGGAGATCTGGAGGCTTTCAATATTTATGCATGCATGCATAAATATTTATGCATTAAAAAAAATATACTACAAAGTCATCAACGGAGTGTGCAATCTATGCAATTTATTTAAATGTCTAGCATAGGCCTATCAGCATAAGAGGTTGTTGTCTATGTTCTGCTGTCTATGGCTCTAGGGATGCTTCTATCAGTGCACAAATACCAAATACTGTCGACCACTGGACAACACACTGAAAAACAGCAAAAGAAAAACAAACAAACAGAAAGATTCAGGAATTCTGCATAGATCTCTCCAGATGGTTTGAACACTGGATTATTATTCTGCACAGAATTCTCTTGCCTCTCCACACATGCTGAGATGACCAGCAAATGGCACCAGTTTATGACACAGTCTTAGCTGTGCTGAATGCTCTGCCATTCGCAGACTAAAAAGCAGCCCTGATTTTCTAATTAAAGATGGTGGCAAAAAAAGGAGCTGTTGCCATCATGAACATGTTGGACTACAAATAGGAGGCTTAGAGGCGACTCTCTACCCACATATTTTACAGGCTGCTATTTTCAGTCTTCAGTGAAAAATACTGGAATGAATGGCCAAACCTGATGAGTCATTACGTTGGAAAAATAGATCTGAGCCAGACACATTTGATTCCATCAATTTAAAATAGTTTCTTTACAAAAATTGGAAGGAATTCTGGTTTGCTTTATTTAAAAATAATGCTAACTAGCACAATTCATCAGCTGAAGAGAATGAGGAACTGGCCAAGACTGAATATTTCACTTTTATATACTCACCTGATTAAAGCTTTGATGCCACACGATTTGACTCGCATTAATGATTAACTCTTTGCCTGGAGGAGCCTGAGGTTCCAGTCTTCCAACTTTCACTCTAACCACTGAACCATTGGGAAACATCAGCCAGTTTGTAACATCAAAACCTGTAACTAATTCTCCATTTTCATCAAAATGCACAGTGTCTCCAACACTGTTGTTGAATATGGTTCTTCTTAGAAAGTAATGGACCTAGTTTGAAAAAGAATGTTAACAAGGGAATAACAGTTTCTTGAAATAATTTTAATATTTAGACCTCTTAGAAGTCTTGCCCTTTTTCAGACAGTATATTTATTCATTTTTATAAGAGTATTAATAAATCACCAACTCATGTCCTGACCAGAAACGAATGGTTGGTGAAGATGATGGACTATGCCAAAATGGCAAAATTGACCAGGAAAATCAGAAACCAGGAAGAGAGAAACTTTAATAAGGAATGGGGGGAAATTACAAACTACCTAAGAGAACATTGTAAACAACTAAAAACTTTGGCAGGATTTGAGTAACGCTTGTAATGTACAAAAAAACTAAGGTAAAAATGGATTATTTTAAGAAAAATAGAGAAAATATATGATGCAGTTGAAAAAGATTGAAAATGGAAACCATGGAAAGGTGAAGGAAGTCTAAGGATTCAGAGAATCCTAAACGCTGATGGTTATGTCTAATGTTTCAAATTAAATGTGTAGTGTAAAACTGAACAAAAAATATCATAAAAATAAATAAATAATTCACCAACTCATAAATTCATGGCTATGCACCATAAAATTGTTAAAACATCATAACTTTTAAAAATCATAAAGCACAGAACTAATGACCAACATTTCTGTTCCGTTTCTATTTCTGGCTGTAATTTCTCTCTGTTAGATTCCAGATAATGGGGGAAATCACCATAATATTATGTGGTTTGCACTATGTATCAAAATTCTCTCTCTCTCTCTCTCTCTCTCTCTCTCACACACACACACACACACACACACACCAAAAAAACCCCTGATGCAACTGTTTTATGTAATCTCATGAATTCATATTATGTCTGGGGCATAAACTAGCCTGTTTTGTTATTATTGCTAAATTATGGAATTGTAATTACCTGCCATGGTTGCATATTCTGAAATGCATGTCTCCCGACCAACGTTTTAAGTTTGGAGTTGGATTTATATATAGCATTCAAAGCATAAGCCACAGCATAGACAGCATTGTAGATATTGTAGCTGTGGCCAGTCATGCTCATTTCAAACAATATTCCAGAAATGCTCTCCAACTTTTCAGACCCAGTGCAACTTTTTTTTCCATCTTCCTCCTCCTCCTCCTGCTCCCATTTAGACATTTTTAATGAACAGGTGAATGCCTGTTTCCAGAAGTCCTTGATAAACCCATCTTCTTTGTTCCAGTAAGGTCTTATCCTCTGAATGAACTTTTGGAATCCTGATGGCTCATTTGAGTGAACTGCGAAGGATATGGAACCATGAAAGGCTTGTATGTCCCAAATCTTTTGAACAGAGAGAGATGCAAAATCCCAGTGGGATGTAATAATCCATACTTTACTGAAAGGTGGCAGTGACGAGAAAGGTGCCAGAAAGAGCAACACTCTCAAAACCTGAAAGGATGGAGGTTCTCCATATACAAAGACTGCAGTGGCTTTTTTCTCCGTGATTATGTGAAAGCTTCTCAGCCGCTGTATAAGCAAGGCTATCAATTCATCCACAAAAGAACGTTTTGGTATTCTTACTATGAAGGCATAACAGATATTGTTTTGGGAAAGCAGTGGCACCATTGTCTGTAAAAAGCGGTCCCCTTTGTCATCATTCACAGCCAAGAGCCCAACCCACGTCCATCCAAAATGCTGAAATAACCGTACAGCTCCCACATATTGCTGGCCTTCATTGGGTACCATCCGGTATAAAAAGGGGAACAGCCTTTTGGTACGTTTTGCTGTCAAAAATGACCCATAAGTGATCTGAAATCAAGAATATAAGTAACCTTCACATAAAATAAAAGTGTGTTAAATATTGCTATCTAAGAGTTAGAATCTACTAGGCCATCAGGAGTTAACAAAAACAGTTGTTAAGCCTCTTCTTAACCATCACCTATTACCCTTTAGTAATTCATTCTCTCTTCGAATTGGGCTTACCATTAATACATTTCTCATAATTTTCAACCCAATATTGTCCTGACTCCTTGAGCAAGAGAGTGCAAGTCTTTGCCCTCTTTGATGTGATGACCATTCAGATATTTGGCATTTGAAGAGTGCTTAAAATGTCCGCCTCCCACAAAAAGCCTCACATTCTCTCTCTCTCTCTCTCTCTCTCTCTCTCTCTCTCTAATTTTTATTAAATTTTCTGTTTTACAATTTAAAGTACTCATTTTTACATCCTTAAGATATCAATGACTTCTCTTCTCTTTCCATGGTTTATTTTGCATATCATAAATCCCTGCATATTTTACAAAAACTATACCATTTAGTATTCCATTATTACATCGATCAAAACTTATTTGCACTGTTGAATTTATCTTAATGCTGCTAGCGTTTTCAGCTGTACACAGTTATTTCCCATATATTCAACAAACATTTTCCAATCTTCTCTAAACATATGTTATTCTTGTTCTCTTATTCTATATGTTAAGTCTGCAAGCTGCACATATTCTGTCAATTTAAGTTGCCACTCTTCTTTAGTTGGGACTTCGCTCGTTTTCCATTTTGGGGCTAACAAAACATGGGCCGCAGTAGTGGCCTACATAAATAACCTTTTTTGACACCTGGGAATTTCAGTCTGAATTATCCCCAACAGAAAGGAATCTGTTGGGGGGGGAGCACTTTCAAACATTTTTTTCAGTTCATTATGTATCATTTCCCATAATTCTCCTATTCTCACGGTTAACTATACCCAGTTTCCTTGACTTTCTCCCATTCCCATCTCCCTTTAAGAAAGATCCAGGTAGACTGAAACAGGTTCAAAAGAGGACAGTGAAGAAAAGGGCAGCACTTTACTGCCCATGACCTGAAAACTATTGATCCATTACTGCAATGCAAAATAGCATTAGTCTTTCATCTGATAATTATTTTACCATTATGACCTACCTCTAGTATGTTTGCTAACAAAAATAAAATAGGGGAACTTTTCAAATGCTTGATTGAAATTGTTGTGAAACCTACAAACCTCTATACTGACAGCTTACCTGTGGAGTCTTGTGGACTGCTGAAATGACTGCCACGTTGGCAGAGATTTCAGAGACACATCCTGCAATGAAAGCAATCAGATTGCTCTGGTTGTCACACTTGAAGTTTGGGGTAAATCTATGGTGTGCAGAAAGCAGGCTCAGGGTGGCTTTATAGGTCATCCTTGCAGAATAGTAGCTATCGAGGATGCGGAACCCCAGAGACATATTTGATAAGATGTTGGGATTCTCATTGATCTCTTTGACAGCAAATGCTAATACCAGAATATGCTGGTAGTTCTTAGGTACTGATCTGTAATAAGAGCTACAGTTGTTTAATGGAGTAATAAGAAAAACAAGGGGAGAGAGGATTTTCCCCACTTGTTCTGTTCCACTGTGCCCTGTTCTGCTGCCCATTCCACCTTGGTGTCAACCAGTGGGACATATATGAAGCTTGTTCAAGCTGAAAGAGGCAGTCTGCATAGCACTTCTGAATCATGCACACACTTGGTGCCTTGGGAGGGGAGAGCCACCCTATTTAAGGGCTGAATGGCTGCCCCTTTCCCTCTTCTTTTCCTTAGAGCCACACCCTCTGCCCCTCCCTGTCTCTCAATTTGATTTGTAGTTGCTTCAGAGCTGAATACAGTGGTACCTTGGTTCTCGAATGTAATCCGTTCCAGAAGTCCATTCAACTTCCAATACGTTCAAAAACCAAGGTGCGGCTTCTGAGTGGCGCTGACACCCCAGAAACAATAGCTGATAGCTGCAGCGGACATTTGGCTTCCGAAAAACGTTCGAAAACCAGAACACTTACTTCCAGGTTTTCAGCGTTCAGGAGCCAAAATGTTTGAGTACCAAGGCGTTCGAGAACCAAGGTTCTGCTGTAGTAACTGTTGGCTGACCCACCTTGTCTGTGAGCTGTGGTTTGATATACTTTTTCCTGAATAATGGGGTGATAAGCACTAGATGGTCTCAGGGACGGATCTACTATGAAAAAAGCACTCTGTAACAGTTTCAATCAAACAAGAAATATACAATAAGTTAAAGTCAATTGAAGCAAAAGATAACGGATCATTTGTATGAATCGTAATGTTGCTTAATGATGAGCTCTCAGTCATTGCGATCCGAACTATTATAGAATATGAGGCAAAAGGGGGAAATGCCTTACATTGGTTCATCAATCAATATTTGTGCTGGCTGCTCCGTGAAAGAGAGGTTATTATAGAGGAAGAAGACTTGAGAAACAATCCCACCAATGACAAAATCTCCTGGTTGGTAAAATTCATGAGGAATAGGATGAGGATCATCAAATATGGAACAATTAATAGAATGAATCTTGCATACAGTATGACACAGCATTACAAGCAGCAACATCACCACCAGCACAATTCGGTTGACAAAAAGTCCCCTCCGAACGTAGATTCCCATGATCCTATCTTCAGCATCATATGAGACTATGACCAGTTTTGCTACAATCTTCCTTAAATTGTGGTTGATTCTGCTGCTACACTTGGTTATAGCTTGATCTGTGGGATAATATGTGTGCCAGTACTCTAGTCATATATTTATTAATGGCTCATTGTACACCAGTGTCATTGAACAGATTGTTTTCTTTATCTCTTCACTTTATCATCCAGCACTGAGTGACAACTATACTTTTTTCTATTAAATCTAGTCATATGTTTACCCTCTTCATCTATGGATATAAATAACTTTGTCCTTTGCGTCCCAAGGTAGAAAGGCTTTCTCAGAGAATTATCTATCAGCTTGCCCCCCAAAATACAAGGTATATGAAAGAGAAGCAGTGGATTAGCAGGAAGTAGGAAGAAAAATAGAAGATGATCAGAGTAATTACAAAGAATGTGAAACAGGGATACTCATGGTTTACATTTGTGGCTTAAGGATCATGGTGGAGTCAGCCAGTGGAAGTGTACACCATCATTTAAAGGGGACATCATCGTAGAAGCAATGACAGAGCCTATACCTACATCAGCATCTGAATAACAGAAGGGTTTTATAGCTTTTTCCAGATTCTGATTGTTGTTCTTGCTAATGGGCTATGGAAATCCATTATGTCAGAGGATGGAAACCAGTAATTTTGACAATGATAGGGGTGATTAGCCCTCAAAGTATGATTGGCTTTTTAAGTTGCATCATGTTTGATGAAGCTGCTAGGAATTTTCCCCCTGTAGAATGATTAATTTCCTCTTAGAGAGCTATTAACTAAGTCATTGGACATTCCCCCAGTGGCTCCAGGCTATTAAGCATCCTTCTGTTATTCTTCTACAGTCATACCTCTTGTTACATTTGCTTCAGGTTAAATCTTTTCAGGTTGTGTCCCGTGGCAATCCGGAAGTACTGGAAAGGGTTACTTCCGGGTTTCGCCACTTGCACATGCACAGATGTTCAAAATGATGTCACGTGCATGCACAGAAGCGGCGAATCGCAGCCCACGCAGACGCGGGTTGCATTCTGCTTATGTTGTGAACGGGGCTCCGAAACGGATCCTGTTCGCAACCAGAGGTACCACTGTATGTATTTACTTATGAAGTACTACTGCTTCTGGATGAACTTATGCAAACAGAAACACAATTTGCTTACAATCTGACTTTTGACAGGTTGCATGGGAATAAAGGCAAGAGTCGTGGCCATTGCTCTGTGACCCACATAGACTTTTATCCATAATGTAAGTAGCACTCAAAGCAAAAAAAGTTTCCGGTGGGGGGCCTGAAACCCTAGAAATTAATAAATACTAGTGAAGGAACAGGTTACCCAAGCCTGAATGCAGAGCGACCCGAACCAGGCCCCAGTAACTCCCACATTCCTTCTTCAGGGGTCAATTAGCCAAAATCCATTAACTTGAGCACTTGAGCCAATGTATAACAGGAACCCAGCTGTACAAACAAAGCCTCTCCCTTATCAGTCCAGGAAGGCTTAGTGATGGATGGCCTTGTCAGTTCCGAGTGGAGCGAGTGGAGACGGGATGGAAGATCTGGGTCTTATCTTGTAGGTTGTAAATATCCTGGCCACGCTGATGCACAGACCTTGCCTGTCAGGCCTGTCAGCCCCCACTCCCAGAGACAGCGCCAGGGGAAACTCCTATAGCTGGGTGACCTTCTTGCCCTAAGATAAGCACACAGGAACCGGAATATCTGTTTATGCTCAAGGATGCTCAAGGAGATCAACTTACTCACGAGGCAGGATTCCTGGGGAAGGGGCAGAGGGGGTCTGGAGGGAATATATACTGGATGAAAATTCTCTTTCAGTGTGCTTGCTGTGAACTGACCACACAAGTGCCTTTCTGCTGCTCCGGAGAGCAGAAATAAAAAACTCTTTCTCTGAACCAACCTCTGTGTCTTTTGACTCCTTCCTCCCTCTCCGGAAGCAACGCTCACCCAACCAATCGGTAAAGTCTAAGAAGGCTACACTAGGATTTTGATTATTTGGGTTATGAAGGGAGAATGCAAGCTGCAGAGTAATTCCTGGGCTAGCCTATGCAAAATGACCTGGCTCAACTGGGGCCATTAAGGAACAAGAGAGGGCCATTGAGAGACATTGGCAAGGCAAGAGAAGGATCCCTGCCTCCTGCCCTCAGATGTAAACAGAGACTGGGTTTGGAAGGTGGCCAGGGTAACTGGGTGTAAGCTGACAGGAAAATAAAGTTTTGATTCAGGTAGGTAGCCGTGTTGGTCTGACACAGTCGAAATATCAAAATAATAAAATAATAAATTGTGCAGTAGCACCTTAGAGACCAACTAAGTTTGTTCTTGGTATAAGCTTTTGTGTGCATACAGACTTCTTCAGATACACTGAAAGAGAAGTCACCAGACCCTTGTATATAGTGGGAGGGTGGGGTGGGGTTTTTCTCAGGAGGGTAGTAGGAGATGGGTGATTGACTCAATGGGTATGGTAAACCTGTTGACGACTGTTAACGACTGCAATTAGTCCTACAGGAAAAAGCAAGAGATAGTATGCAGATGATTAGCATATGTAATGAGACAGGAATCCAATATCTCTATTCAGACCAGGTCTCTCCAGTTTAGGGATAAGTTGTAATTCAGCAATTTCTCTTTCAAGTCTGTTTCTGAAATTCTTTTGTAATAAGACAGCTGTTTTGAGATCCTGTATTGAATGTCCTGGGAGACTGAAGTGTTCTCCTACTGACTTCTGTACTGTATAGTGATGATATGTTTTCATAACGTCTGAGTAAAGCGAGGCTGAGAGTAACACCATAACCATAAAACATATTTTTCAGAAAATATGTTTCTTTTCTTGTTTTATTTATTAAAGCCATTTCTATACCACTTTACATTTTGGAGAGGGTTGTGTTGTATTTAAGGCAGCCATCCTATGCACAATAAGTGCAAAAAGCAAGCCTTTGTAAGTTAAGCTTGTCTAAAGTTATACCAGATAGATTCCTATTCAGTGGCAAAGGTCCTGTGGCTGCTCTTTCCAAACCTGGCACAAGGAAAGCAAGCCTTTAAAATAGTGTTTCGTGCCAGGTTGCCAGGAACGAGCAACTAGCAGTAACATACCTTTGGCTAAACTACGTTTGGAGACTTAGTGCCTGCTGAGCCAGGAATGAGTCCACTGAGTTGGCGATCATCCTAAATTGCTCATCTCAGTGGATCTACACTTGGAGGAACATACCAAAGCTTCCTTGGCACCTTGAGCATGTAATGAAGAACCAGTACCACTGACCTATGACCCTTCCCAAAAGGAAATCCATGAATGTCAAAAGTGTGTGTTTTTTCTCCAGAGATGGGAAATTTTTCATCGTAGTCTCTCTCAGACCTGTCCTACAGCCTTTTTATTTTTTTTTACTGAAGGGCTATAGGCTGAAGTCTTTAATGGCAAGTTATGCTTCCAGACAACGCTATCCAGTGCATAGTAAATACTTCCTTTCATGAATGACAAACAGGTGTTCTCCAGCAATGCCATAGAGGCTTTGAGCTGAGTCCCCTGTAATTACCATAAGGACGGGAGTTAACTCTGGAACTTGCAGAGTCCTCTCTGGAAATCTAGTGACTAATAAGAAAAGAAATAATATGCTTTGTGAATACAGTACCAGGGTCTCAGGAGTAACAAGGCTCCATCAGACTGATTTCTGGTACTCTGTGTTTGATAATGCTGGATTTGGTCTTATCTGCAAACAGAATGATCATTTGGGTCAGTCAAAACAGTCTGGTGCAATTACAGGGATTATAAAGATTGAGATTTCCCTGTTTGCATCTCCTGCAACCTGTGTTCATATTATACATTTGTACTCAGGATGTTGATGTTAGTATTAATGTTGCTGCTTCTACTGCCTCACACAGCATGCCAAAACCAGAAGGTTCAATGTGGGATGCAGCACTCCCAGCCTTCTCTTCCCGGATATTCTCAGTCAGGAGATTTCATCTTTGGATGCATTGTTCCAGTTGCCTTCAACAAACATTCTCGTGGGCCACAACAATTACCTAAAACGTTTGTATAAAGAAAAATTTCTCCCTGATACTCTACTTCTGTCTAGACAATTGGAGAGCCAGGCCGATCTAATTGAAGACTAGATCTAGATTGCATTCTGTAGCTGAAAGGTAATAGATGCAACAGTGCACCTTGCAAACCTGGCTTGAACACTGCAAAGTAATTTTACTTTGAAAACGTGACCATGGAAGAGAAAAGGAGGGAAACTGCACAGGAATCTCATGATCTGTGTGTGAATAGAAAAACAAGTAGCCTCCAGACAATGTGTGTTGCAGGCAGCATTAATTAAAGAGGGGAACTGCCAAGTAAAAAGTCACTTGGCATATATTGAGGCTTTAAATTGTTATTCTTCATTCATTTTACATCTCAGTCCTCTTGAAGCTCTCTTCCCTATTGGACTTTCTTTCATTCCAGGATGAAGTGAATAGAAATATGACTAACCTCCACGCAATTGCTTAATAGAATGTGGGGTAGGCAACATTAATTAAAGAGGCATTTTTCCCTGTAAAGGTGTTTTTCCATGTACAAAAAAGCCACCATGTATTGAGAGTTGGAAACGTTATCTGACGTATATTTGCACTGCGTCCTCTTCCTATTCTTAGTTGTCTTCCCTATCAGCTTGATTTCATCCCAGGATTGTCTCACGCTGTTGAGAATCCTGTGAACCCACTGTAAATCTGGTGTATTTGAACTCCACAAACCAAGCTGTCACCCCCCAAAAAAACTGGAAGACAGAGCAGTTCCAAAAAAATAAAAATAAATCGCCCCACCCTGCTTTATTTCAGTACCATCAGGAGCCGAACCCTCACATCTAAATCTCCTTTATGTAATGATGCCAAATAGTATTATAGGGTGGGGGTGGGAAGAGGGGTGTAATTTAGGAAAGTAAGAAGAGCTTTAAGTTTGTGTGCATTGATTTTAGTACACCCTGTGGTAAATAATTTGCCTTATTTGAATAGAGC